TTGAAATGCTATGTACATAGCATGTTTCTAGGAGGCTGATTGAATTCTTAAGCGCATTGCCGACTTCGTGATTCGTTGAAAGAGATGCTAAGTGGGGTCGAAACCTTGATATAAATGATAAATTAATGCCTATTCAGAACATTGTACTTCGAAACTCTCTCGCTCCTGCTCCCTTTTCAGTTACCGCCACTTCCAATTGCTCCTTATATACCAGAACGTACTGTAATCGCCCACCGTCAGGATTGCCTCGTCCTCATTCTGATCATCCTGCCAATAGAAAGCTTATGAAGGAGCACCAATCCTCATATAACGTAACTATAGCATGCACAAGTAGTGGCTCGTACGGGTGACCCAATTCCGTAAGTAGCATACCTAAGAGAGGGGGTAGTGTGTGTGTGTGTGTGTTATTATTTAACGGCCAGAGGCCGAGGGGGCGAAGCCCCCCCATTCTCATGACATCCCCTCTTGGGGCAAAGGCCGCCAGGGAGTTACTCCTGGGTTTCTAATAGTTATATACATACTATTTCTACAGAGTGTAGTGATTCCTGAGCGCATTCCCATAGCTGCCGTGATCTTGATGAGAAATTAATCCTTCCTATTGGTGGAGGGATTACTTAGTATGAATTCTGCCGAGCTGCAGCCGGTCCGCCTAAAACCCCATGACCTTCTTAGCGCCTCCACAATTGATTATATAAGCTTTTTTTTTTTTTTTTTTCTTACAAAGGAAATACAGGTTTTATGGTCAATTTTGATTGTCTGTTAGGGTAGCTCTGCGACCTGGGGTCTCACAGCGAGTGAATGGGGCCCTTTAAGATTGGGGGGGGAGGGAGGTGGAGGGGACATATGTTGGTATAGAATCCGTTCGCTTTCGTCCAGTTTGCTAATACCTCAGCACCTTCGTAGGTACCGCAGAGGAACGGAAGAATATCGGCAGGTTTCCCTTTAGGCCGGGGGTGGTTTCTTTTGGCGATACTGCAGAAGAAGAAGTGTACTGGGGATTTACGGGCTCCACATCTGCAAAGCAGTTGTGCGTCTTGATGTAGGAAACGTTCGTGGTACGATGCGAAGTCTCCATGGCCTGAGCGGATAGCTATTAGGCGACCTAGGAAGGGTCTAGGGAGAGAGAGTTCTTTTGGGTTCCTTGGTGAGGTAAAGATCTCGAGGTCTCTGTAGGTTGTTGGGATCACTGTTGACCACAGCTGATTCATTGCTTTTTGCCTGAGTCCTTTGGTCACTCTTCTGAGTCCTGCATATGAGTAGGCCCCTGTGGGTTGAGGGAGGGCTGCCCCTGCCTTGGCCGCTTTGTCAGCCGCTTCGTTTCCTGCTACATCTTTATGACCAGGGACCCATCGGATATGGACTGTGCCATTGTGCCAGGTTGAGGCTAGTTGGCGGAAAGCCGAGAAGGTGTCCTGGGAGGATCCGGTAGATTTGGAGAGGAGTCTTGCTGCTACCTCAATATTATCAAGACAGATGTATATATCTGTTGCTATTCTCGATTCGATCGAGGAGATAGCGGCCTTGAGGCCTTCGAAAGCTGCGGTCGCTTCAGAATCGTATACTTCCTTCATTCTTCCTAGTGGAAGGCTCCCTTCGCAGAATTTGTGGTTGTCTTGGTACCCTACGAAACCGCCACCAGTGTTGCCGTTTGCAAGTTTAGACCCGTCAGAGAAGATAACGATATCTTCGCGAGGGAGTAGGTCATAGAAATCGTTGAATTCAGTAGCTGCTTCCTGTTTGGTACGGCCATTGGGGCTATGAATACGCTTCATTATTTCTGCTCTTGATTCATATTCTAGCCATTTAGGGGCTGATAGGGGATCGATCTGTTCCGAGGGCGGAAGAGATAGGATACGGCAGGCGAAACGGGTCTTGAAAGAGCCGGGGTCCTCTTGGATCCATTTAGCTCTCCAGGCGAGAGGGTGGTAGGGGTCCAGTCTTCTGGTTCTAACTGTTGAAGCGCGAGCTAGGTCGTCCAGTTCAATTTCAGGCGGGCGGAGTCCTGATTCACGGTGCAGTATTGCTATGTTGGTTGTCCTCCATACTGGCAGGATTGCTCTGGCACACTCTAAGGTAACCTTACTTAACTGGTTGATATGGCCCTCCACCTTAGTAGGGTGGTTTATTCCGAATTGTGTTCTACCTGTCCACCAGGTTTCTGCTCCAAAGTATGCACGTTTGAGGACACATGCTTCAGCGGCTTGCCGTAGTAGTCTGGGAGGGGCTCCTCTTATAGAGTTACCCAGGGATTTAAGAGCTCTGGCTATTACAATAGCTTTTGTAGCTAGTTCTTTCGTATGCCATTTGAAGGATAACTTTTTATCGAAGAGGATTCCGAGCCATCTAATATAGGGCTTTCCATTGGCAAGTTCTTTGATTGTTAGATCTCCCATAGTAATTGTAGGGGTAATATCTGGGTTCTGTTCAGTCCTGCGTTTTGAGAAGTGGATGAGTTCTGATTTGCCGGGATCAAAGGTGATGCCTTCTGAGGCGCCCCAGGTTAGGATCTCCAGTGTGGTAGCGTTGAGTTCGGTGACATTATCATCCAGAGAGTTCGAGGCAGCTAGTATAGCTACATCGTCTGCGTAGCCGAATTTGATTGTGTCCTTCCCCATTTTGAAGATAGGGGCGATGTATAACATAAAGAGAATGGGTGATATAGGGGAGCCTTGTGGGAGCCCGCATTCAATGTTTGTTTTGGGGCCTGTGGTTCCATCTAGGCGAACTTGGATGGTTCTTCGGGTTACGAAGGAGGATAACCATTTGGTGAGGTTAGGGGCCCAGCCTTGTTCCCGGAGCCTCCGGATCAGGCGTCCGGGGAGGACAGCGTCGAAGGCTCCTTTGATATCGAGAGTGAGCAACGAGGCCGAGCCGTTTAAGTTAAGTGCATGTTCGACATCGTGGGTAAGGCAGGTGGTGAGGTCTACTGAGGATCTGAGAGGCAGGGCTCCGAATTGGTGTGTGGAAAGGACTTTATGGGAGATCGAGGTCCAGGACATTTGCCGGGCAATTAATCGTTCGAGTCCTTTGCCGAGGACTGAGAGTAGGGCGATGGGTCTGTATGATCTGGGAGAGGAGAGGTCGGCCTTATTGGGTTTGGGGATGATTGCAAGGATCGCACTGCGGAAGGATTTCGGGTGATATCCGAGGTGGAGACAGCTGTAGTAAAGTTGGGAGACGAATGGCTCGATCAGAGACCAGGCTTCTTTGAGGATTGCTGTAGGGAGTTCGTCTGCCCCAGGGGCTGTATTGCCTGCCAACAAGACTGCGTTCTGTATCGCTTGAGCATTGATGATTGGGGGAGGGAGTTGTTTGGTAGGGACAGTTGGGCAATCTATAGGGATGTCTCCAACTTCTGTATCTCTTTTGAGGAGATTGTTTATTAAGATGGTTCGTTTTTCCGGGGTCCCGGTTGCAAGGGGTCGGTTGGGGTGAAGGGGGTCCTTGAGAGGGGGGGAATGGAAAGAGCCTGTGGTTTTATGCCATTTAGATATGGCGAAGATGTCCTTGGCATGTTGGGCCTGGTCTATCTTTGTGCGGTAGAAGGATCTTTTAGCTTTTCGGATGGTTTGTCTGAAGAGTTGTTTGTCAATCTGATTTCGGTGGTATTGTATGCGTGCATTGCTGCATTCATCGTTCCACCAGGGTTGGGTCTTTTGTTTTGGCCTGTAGTTCTTTTGGCAGAGCCACAATAAGCTTTGTGGATGGCGTCTACAAGGTCATCGGTGAACTGGTCTAGTTCTGCTTCGCTTCGAGGTGGGGCATTCAGGGTTGTGAGATTGGTTTTTAAGAGGGATTTGAAAAGGATAGGATCGAGGCTTTTAGGACGAAGCTGTTTCAAAGTATTCGTTGTATTGGATATCCATGGGATATTTGTAAGGAGGGGAGTGTGGTCCGAGGTGACATCAAGGTGATAGGCGACACGGGTATTGAGGCCTTGTTGATGTAGTGTGTGGGAGCAAAAGGCCAGATCCAGAACATTGCCTATAGAGTGGGTAGGTTTATCTAGCTCGGATGAGAATACTAATTGGTGTTCTTCGAGCCATTTGTTGAAGGGGATAGAGGCAGGAGAGAGGTTTCCTGTATAGCTAGGTTGCCAGTTCCGGTGTGGGAGGTTGAAGTCCCCACAGAGGAAGGTGTTCCCTTGAAGGTAGGTGTCTGGGGTGTCGATGAGGGTTTGGGTGGTATTCTGGGGGCGGGTTGGAGAACCGCGGGGGCTGTTATATATATTGAAGATGGTGACTGAGTAATTGGTCTCAGTTTTTAGTTGGAGGATGAGGAGATCTGAAAGGGCATATGGGTCAATGTGAGGGGGTTTGAGTTGGGTGATAATGATGTCTAGGTCTTTGCGGATGTAGGAGATCACTCTGGGTCTACCATGCTCAAGCCAGTTGTCTGTTGGGGAGTAGCATTGGTATGCTGGGTGCCATTTGGTGATTCGGCGGGAGAGGTCTTTCGAGATGTATGGTTCTTGTATCATTATGATGTCGGACTTTTCGTTGTATGCTGTAGCGAGTGCAATATCATGTGCCTCAGCGCTTCTGCCTGTGTTCAGTTGGAAGACGGATAGTTGTTGTCTATTCATTATGATTTATGGAGCGGAAGATATCGATAGGTCCTGGGGTGACGTATCGGGTGGAGCGGGTGGTAGAGGGGGGGGCTGTTGGTGTGGGTTGGACTGGGGGAGTGACCGGTCTGGAGATAGGTTGGGTCTCTATTGTCTCCATAATGTCGGTGTTTTGCCGAAAGTGAATCCACCTGCCTGCAATGCATCCATCGTCTTTTCTGGCTTTGGTGGTGGCAAGAAAACCTGATTTTCTGATTTCGATTTTCTGTTCTTTGGTGAGTTGTCGGCCTTTGCCGGCGAAAAGAGGGCATCTGTAGTCATCGGCTGCGTGGGGGCCGTGGCAATGTAGGCATCGGGGAGGGCAGGTGTGTTCCCCTTGTGTATCACATCTGTTCGAATGAGCGAATGTTTTATGTTCTGTAGAGCCGCATAAGCGGCATTTGCTAGGTCTAGCACAGGTTCTTGGGTTATGCCAGTTCCAGCATTTGTCGCATTGTATGATTTTATTCTTGCGGGGCAGCAATCGGGTTGTGGTGGTTACCCCGAAGAGTCGCATGAACTTCGGGATTTGGGATGGATTGGTCTCGTTTGGAAAGTTGACGAACCAATCGCAGGTTGAACTGGACGGAGTGATAGTGCTGTTCGGTGTTTCCGCTACCAGAAGTGGGGTGACACCTGTCAGTTCTTTAATGGCCAGTTTTAACATGTGTGAATCCACATCTCCTGTTGTATATTGGTCATTTTCGAAGAGGCCTATGCGTCTGGGGACGTTGGAGATACGGTATGAGAGCCATTGAGCGTTTCGCTCTACTTTGACCGTGCCAGAAGGGGAGGTGAAGAAGTTGGAGATGGTTTGAATCTGGGATTCGAGGATTGAGAGGGATTCGGGTCTGTTTGGGCATAAGGCCAGGCCGGACTTCGTTTGCTGTATTTCCTGAAGAGCTTTTCCATGTATTCCTAGTTTGGTTTTGAGGCTCGTGTAGATAGCATAGACATGCATATCTCTTGCCGGGTGGGCTAGAGGGAGTCGGACGAAGAGTCTGTTGTCCTCGGAGAGTTTTTGAATGCTTTTGGTCTTTGTGGCTGAAGGCTGGCTGAAGATCTTTGAGGTAGTTGAGGCAGCAGCTTTGGCATATGTAGGCTTTGTGATCGGGGTGCTGTTCGATGCAGAGGCATTTTTGTGTATATGTGGCTTGATCGGGGTTGAGCCTGTGATAAATGCTTTGAAGTGTGTTGTAGCCACTGTTGCGAGTTCGTCGCTGAGTTGGGCCAGGGCTTCCTTTAAGTGTTTGGGGAGGCCTTGATTGTTGGTGCGGTGTTGATCCAAGAACTTTGCGATAGGATCAAATAGGGACTGTCCTTCAGAGGCTCTGATGGAAGCTGCTGCTACAGATTCCGCTAGAGCCTTCTGGAGGGGGCCGTCGGGGGGGGATGGGGCCATGATTGACCTTGTTGCGGTGCCCAAAGGGCAGCGCTTTGCGGAGAGGAGATCGTTTGGAGTAGACAGTATAGATATAGTCGGTTTCTCTTCGAAAAGAGGAAACGTGTCGATTTTGTTGCAGAGAGGGGGTAGTGTTACGATCACGGATCTTACAGTAACCGATCGTGTGCCTACGAGATGCGATTCGATCAAAATAGTATGGGATTAAGGTCATGTGGGGATCTGAAGAGCACAGACTCTGTTATTATATGATTCCCACCGATCCCACCGACTTAAATCAAGTGGGAGCGATGGGATAGGGAGTACGTAGATCTATATAACTAGGAGGGATTCTCTCACTGTAGAGCTTCGTGCTCAAGATCAATCATTTAGTATACTCTACTATTAGTTACGAATTGCATTATTGTCATTACTTTAAAGTCCCTGCTTGACGCCTAGTTATAAACCACCTCGAGAGCCTAGAGCACTTCCACGTGATCTAGACGGCAAACCTCGTAACAGACATGGAGATATTGACTGGGCAGCTGGTAGCGGATTGGGTGTATGGGAGTTTGCAAAGACTTTGTGGTATGAGAATATCGACTTCATGACAACTTACACGATATACATCAGAAAGAGAATTCTCAAAGACAAGAAGTAGTTACTGTAACATCAAAAAACGTAATTCATTGATGTATCATAAGCGGACATGGTAACATATCCATTGACGCATTTGATCCGCTAACATGCTGATCCACCCACAACAATAATCCCCTTTATGTAACACTACCACTACTAACTACGTCAATTCACCACGAGCCTCCACCTCCCTCTTCCTATCCATGACACCAACCGCTCGCTAACAGCAAACATAAGCTTCGATCCAATGCAAAAGGCCATCCTACTACCGTGCATCCAGCCGAAAGAGATATCCATACGTCATTTCGAGTTCCAATCGAAACATAAGGGCCATTATCATTGAGAGAACGCACCATACCAAGACGAAGAAAACCGAATCAGAGATCGAAATGCAAGAAGGTACTGAAAAGCATAATAGAGGCTCTAACCTGCAACCAAAAAAAATCCATGCCAACCAAATCAAAAGATTGAATTGTCATCCCTAATACAAAAACATGATATGAGAAGTCAAGCCACCGCTTCTGAAGAATGAACAATGATATATCTTTTTTTCGCAATCGAAACCATAAGCAAGAAACGATAATAAACAGCAACGCTTCAGGAAATACGAATAAGATAGCTGAAGGCATTAAAAAGGACTATAAAGATGTGACTTGCAGATCGTGAATAGAGGCAATGGTGGGGGGAGTTACAGAAGGTCGTTACTGCGTATAGTAGACTACGCCTTGTTGCTGTGGATAATAAAAGCCATCTGGACTTGGTGTCATCATTCCGCCCATTCCTACTACACCCCCTACTTGTTGCATAGGATACTGTTGAGTTTGTTGATAGCCGCCTGGGAAAGTTGGAACAGCTGGGATTTGTGCGGCATCATAGTAATACACCATTCCATTGACTTCTTGGGCAACCAAGTTTTGAGGTGCTTGTGTTGCCGAGCTTTCAGTAGTCTGTGGTGCGGCTTGATTATATGTTTGTTGTGGCTGCTGTTGTGTAGGTACAAAAGGAGCTGCACCAGCTGCAGAAGTCATAGGTGCATTAAAGGTTTGGGGGTAATAATATCCTTGAGGAGGCTGCAAGACAGGATAAGTTTGGGGATAAAAGTTGGAAGCTTGTTGTTGGTAAGGGTTAGGTTGAAAAGCTGGTGCGTGAATAGCTCTCTCTGGAATTTGTGACAACGGTGTACCAGTCGAAGCTTGACTGGGGTAAGATGGTTGCCGGGTATGTTGAGTATTATCGTGCGAGTAACTGTTACCATTGATTTGAATGGGAACTTGTTGATGGAATGGTTGTTGGGTTTGCTGAGGAGGATTGAATGACATAGATGCGGGTGATTCGATGTCGGCCACAGACACGGTCTTTTGAGGCCGAGGTTGATGCATGGGAATTGCATTTGGGCGATTTTCCCGAAGAGCTGGTTTTTGTGGAAGGGGATAAGTTTGAGGGCGTGGAACATTATCGAGAGAAGATGCTTGTGGAGATGAATCAATTATTCCAGACTCAGGAGCCTGGGTTTGTTGAGATTGTGCAGCTTGACTTGATGGTGGTAATTTTACAACAGGTCTTGATGAATCCATCGAGATTTGTGGCCTTGACATCGTTGAACCACTGGGTGAGACAAGTGTTTCTCGATTGACTTCTCGTGCAAGAGACGAGCGACGACTCATGGCAACGCTTGGAGTATATGTTCCTCCATAAATGCTTCCACCAAAAACACTTGTACGTCTCGAAAAACCACCCACAGATCCAAGGCCAGCTCTACCTCTGCCACGTCCACCAAATCCCTGTTGATTAGGTCGCATAGCTCTTGGGATGAATATAAATGATCTATCGACAGCAGGGAATATGTAACGTGGTGGATGATCAGGTAGGGATATTCGAACTGGTTTATCTCGACGAAGCGGCGGTCGGTGATCAGGCAGACGCGTATATTGCTTCACTGGAATTCCAGGAAATACAACAGGTTTTTCCATATCTGCAAAGAATACACGAATTTGTACATTTCCAATGTGCTTCGTAGTCGAAAGTGATCGATTGAGCGGTGCAGATTTCGAAGCTGGTGCTGGTCTTTGGGATCCATTTGAAGCTCCATTTGTAGATGATGGTACGGGTTCAGTTATTATTTCGTGCATATCGTGTGCCCATTGAACATCGGTAGGTTCCAAAGGTTGTGAGATATTACTATAAATGTTAGCAGAAATTCAAAATCACTCAAGAGATGATGATATACTTGATAGGTGCATACGGCCCCCCAATTCCGGGCCGGCCCCGACCACCTCTGCCCCTGCCAAATGGCCGAAAACCATTCGCCGCAGGACCAGCATGACGATGATCGTGCATAAAGAATGCTCCTCTATTTGGCACAAACGCAGGATCCGCATCTCTCTTTTTCTTGTATTCTTCATGTTCTCTCCTTCGCCTTTCATGAGGTTGTTCTTGTGATCGATCCATTTGAGCAGTAGATGTGACAATAGCCGGTGAAGGGGTATCTTTCGTCTCGTCTTCTCGAAAGTCCTCGAATTGTACAGTTTCTACCGGTTCAGAGGTTTTGGGCCCATTCACCATCATTTCCATATCATTGGCTCCATTTGTGAACTTTGAAGCTTCAGTAGTACCATTGCTAGCTTTTGTTTGTCCACCATTCTGCCCAGTTGATCTATTTCCATTCATCTTGGTTGATTGAGGTACCTCATTAGTTGTGATGTCGCCATTGACAGGTTCATCGTCCTCATGTACATCTTCATCGTCACTGATTATTGAACCTTCAGATAGAGAGTCATCATCCATTTCAGTAATATCTTGAGCTCCTTCATCATCGCCCTCGTCCTCAACCCGCCTTCTTCTCACAACCAAATCTCTGCGTTGGCGGGCACCCATTTTGAGAAGCTGTTAAACAATTCAAAGGATTTGCGACGGGTTGATGGGCGATCCTGGAGAACTTGTCAAGGGAAAGAATTCGTGACAGATCATGCAGTGGCGTACAAAATGGGGTTGTGATGTAGCGCCCGCGCTCAATAAAAAGTTATCTGGGACAGCAACTGGATGTTAGGTCGATGATTTGATGTAGAGCAAATTGTAAAGGGCGAAACCTGCACACCGGAAATGTATGTGTTGAGATTAGTAGAAGGTATGGGGGTGGTTGATAGCTCTTTCGTTGTGTAAGAATTAAGCATTAAAGTTTATCAGAGGCTGAAATCCCAGATAGGTTAAGGACCTTGCACTTCGATTTCTTCCGTGGAAGGTTCGATAAAACCACCGATAAAAGATTGTTGCGTATTAGTAAGCCGTAAGCTGTAAGCTGTTCGACCACACACAAGAAAACCCGGGGAATGGATGATTAACCACAGCCAACCATTGACTGTCTAATTTTTATTTATATTTATATTAACATCAATGTCATCAAACGAATTGTCCATTTTATCCAATCTACGGTATAAGATTTCAAGACTCTGTCTCCAACCTCCTCCAATCGAATGAGACCGTACACGTCCAGCATAAAGACGGGACATTTGGTACCAACTCATGCCTACTCTAGAACATTCTGGGCAGGGCCAACAACGAACAGAGTTGTTGTCAATATGAACACGCCAACCACGCAGATTTGTAGTTCACCGTTGACCGTTTGGAGTATACTCGGAATAGTAAGACCACGAAGAATGATTGGTACATCGAATTGAAGTGGTGGAATCGGATATAAGGCCACTATGTACACTGATTCATGTTTCCCCTTTAAAAAGGAGGCCACATTTCAATGTATGTGAGCTGAGAGTCAAATTTATTGGTTATTCGTTATATTCCTCATGCTATATTTACATTTGCTATAGTCTTGCTCCTTCCCCCGAGCTTGCAAGCTTTCTAACGGACGAATTTCGTACATTTCTCCTGGTTGAAAGGAGCTTCCTCATTCGGGATTGAGGAGTCACGTGTTACCCCATTCAAAATTGAGTTGAGATCCGTGCTGAGATGGAACACCAACACCAGAAGTGCCGGTCAAGGATCCCATTTTGTGGTAATCATCATCATTGTGAACGTCCCTAGATAATTAGCTGTCAATATTTTTGAATCGTGAATCTAGTGACCTACTAGGTCCATAACGTAACCTCAACTTGTACATTCTATATACATGTTGTCCTCCCATCATGTTGAAGCAACTTACCCACAAGGTTGATATGTGCCAAAAACAGCTCTTTCTCGACATGGTCTCGACCCATCCATCGTACCTGGGGTTGATCTGATAGGTGGAACGGACGAGATTTGTTACTATTCAGAGTTTGTGACTATTCAAAGGCAAAGTTCAAAAATGGTGAAGCGAGGCTTTTCAGGATCGCAGTCCATCAGTAGTTTACTATTTGCTCCTATGTTTTCCCTCCCGTCCCAATTGATCTTCATCAATTTTTTTCCAAGAGAACTCACAACACCTAGGCAGTTAACCCAACTCGAATACCGCTTCGTTAAACACTATTATAGATTCATCCTTCAGCAGCCTTCTTCCAATGACCATTCCTTCTAGCTCAACTGTCCTCTTGCCACTTTCCATCCCAACAAGCCATATTCACATCGGCCCTTCTACTTCACGCTATCCGCCGTGAATTTTAGACCAAATTGTCACGATTCACCATCACGTGGGACAAGTAGGGATCACGTGATGGAGCCTCCAGGAGCATAGGCTCCTCCAGGCTCCTGGAAAGGACCAGTATATAAACATTCATTATTTTCATAGTACAGGAGCTTCGTGCTCAACTTAGTTATCAATTAGTTTACCTACATTCTACTTGATCTAGTAACGACTTCACTTCCAAGTGAATACCAGTGATAAAGCCTTAACCAACAACTACCAACCGGACGAACCTGAGGCAGCCGCTGCCTCCAGTATAGTATCGTTACACAAATCTCTATCCCAAGCTTCCTGGTCTCTAAACGCACTAACATCTAGAGCATTATCATTCACAAATCATTAATATCTGTATCATGCCCACTCAATGAAGAATCTTTTTGGGGCCAGGGCGAGGGAATTTAATGCCAGTAGCCAGCCCGGCTTAAATATCTCATTCTTTGAATTGTACCTCGGACAATAGTATCTCGAGCTGAAAGACCCCATAGCACTTCTCCATATATCCTTTTGAATACCTATATAAATTTACTTTCTATAATAAAATGAGATAGTATTCTTCAATATCTGAGCCTAGTTTACTATATATTATCTCCTGGGATTTGTGTATCATTAGATAGCATCTAATTTGATATCAATAAATGCACTGAGTTTTCCATCGTAATACATACTAGGCCAATTGAACGATGGACTTGCGGCATATATGACGGAAGTGTCATATGTCGAGGTTGGGGACGGGGGATTGGGAGAATGGTAGACCATTTGGTGGGTGAATCAATGATAACATGATTAAATCCGTTCTCTTCAAATTTTCCATGATGCGGCCAAAGTGATGGCGCTATACCATATCCTTGATTTTTGAATAGAGACTTAACACTGAGCTCGAAGTATTTGATGTCCCATGCTCTAAGAGAGACTCTTTTGTGTTTCGATATTCATTGATACCCATATCCTTTGGTATCGCATCACCTCTTGTCAAATCCACACATTCTTGGTAAGAATATTTTTAACACTCTTCAATTCAACTATTCAAGTCATTTGAAATACGCAAACTAATCTCTCTCCAACCTTCATCCAGAATAGAAACTTGTTCTTGATCAATTTGGCAATGCAAACTGCTCAAGGGAGGACGAATTATTATTCTTCGTGATGATGATGATACTGCACTCAGTCTCTTTGGGAGAACATACTAATAAGATGATAGAGTATATGCTCAGCCTTGGTACCTCTTGCAGTGTGTATATGCTAATTCTAGAGCTTTGATAGTAAAGAAATTCGGAATTGTCATGTCAGAGTAAATGGGGAAAGATAATTGGTGATGCTATTGAAGGATGGAAGGAAGATCGTGGTAATGAGGCTGATACTGCACAAATACACCATATGTGAGGCTTGTCATCCAAACAGTCAGAAACTTATGGACAAGCAGAGTAAGTAATGCAATGGTTGAACCAATCATCACTCACTACCACATTCTGATTCAATATGGAAAGAAAAAGATAGAATTACTGCGGAAGACGTGCAAAGTGCAAGCTCACAAATTAGCCCTTACCCAAACCCATCCCTGTACTTCATGCAACGTACGTTCATGAAAATCTTGTCGTAGAATTGATCCTATGTCGACGTCAACTAGAATAATTTCCCTCAATCTAAAGCCTGTTCACCAAGATTCATAAAGCTAAGAACCGTGAGCTACCTTTCACGTCCAGCTCCTACTGACCATTTTAAAAGCAAGATCCATTTGCTATGATAGCTTACATATAAGCTAAAATGGTCAGAGATTGAGACTTGCAAACCTTGAATTTCTGAATTCACGAGGATGGTCGTATTGTGAGATGCGAAGAGCAGGAAATTTGTCGAAAATGATTTCCTTTTTGCAGGTTTGGAGAGCTGTTAATGTCAGTTGAGGCTATGCAGCGTATTTAGGATATGAATTCAAAAACAGCGTCGATATATCATCATAACTAGATACGAGCCTCTTCTTCTTCCGGAAGAGAATCAGGAAGTTCTTTCTCCATCCTGTGTTGTTCTGGTGTTCCGAAAAACGAGAAAGATATTCACCACCTCCGGTTTCCTGCTGCTGTGGACAAAAAAATCATGAAAGATCTTTGATATAGCCATATAATTTGATTGTTAATCCAGTCTTTACACGCTTGTGTCATTTTCTCACTTTTTCTTGATGAGTTAAGATGGTTGTGAGATAGTAGCGATAGGGAATTGCGCAACGAATGTCTGTCAGATTCAAAGATTGATGCTAGAGAACCAATTATGGTAGTAATTTATTTATTTCAATCTCTATATTGCTTGTGTGCAATCAGACGAGCATAAATCTAAACATAAAATACACGTTCTGTACCCGATGCTCTCATATGGTGATCTTAATCTGATATTGGTGTTTAGTCTCGAGTTGACTGCGAGGTTCTCTTCGAACATGCCTGATACCCCATGAGTGTGAGCTTTGTCCAAAAATCAGCGAACATAAAATTTTATACTAGGGTACCTATTAGGTACCTACCTGGTACCTACCTATCTTGTTAAGATATTCTCATGTATATACACGCTTCAGCTTACTTTGCTCATCCCAACCATTTGAGACTTGATTGAGATGACAACTCCAAATTATCACCTTTGGTATCTCGTTTTCCACGTCTGTATTTTCTCCTCTGCTCAGGTACTGACAGATTGAAAAGAAGAAGGTAGGTAAACAAAGCGAATATTCCTGGAGGGCTTTCCACCTTCTCGCTGTTGGGACTCTTTCTACCCTTGACATATGCATTTAGAACCTCTTCAAAGTTCAACACTGCTTTCACAACCCCGTTTCATCTTATTTCCTCATCACAACTTCCCTTCTTTGCACATCTTTGCGGATTGTCGAGAGTTCCATTCTGCTTCTTGAAACGGAACATACTTTTGGTGCGCCATGTAGATCGATGTCTTCGATAGCGCCTTTCTCCCACAGCAATCAAGAATGCGTCGTCGTTCAATAGACGACAAAATGCAGACAAATCATTCATTGCAAGATATACTTCATGATCTTGACAATGAGACGCGGAGACAAGATTCATTTTCAAAGGCATGCTCAACCATATCTTCAACCATTTCATAGTGTATTCCCGGTCATTCCGATAGTAAGATTTACCTTCAATTCGAAGAAAACATCCCGAGGCTATGGCAGCTCATCCATCAGATAAGATCAATATGAGCTTAGAAATGAATACTGATTCCTTCCGAGGCATGCTTCCATTGATTTCATTCAAGGATCGGAAATGAAGGAAGCTGACCAAGATCCAGGGCCGCTCATAACCTTGACGATTTCACCAGCGTCTAACAAATCCCATATTACTTTCATTACGGTAATACGACGTCGGAACATCCTTCTCAGGACAAAAATGCGGTTCAAACTTCAAGATCTACCCAGATAGTTTGGTAATAGGTGGCGAGCCCTTTGAAAATTGTCGGTACCATGCGGAAAGCTGTCGAGGGCAATAATTATAAGCCAATTGCTAAGTATTCAAATTGACGGCAGAATAGAAGCCCGATAAATTATTCGACGATCATCTTTCAGCTGCAGACGGTGAAGACCCTCTCCTTTTCACTTAACACCCCCATACGGAGATTTAAAGGTACATTGGCTCTTGTACTACCAAGGACCACAAAAATTCGTCAAGCTAACTCAATTCTAGGCCATCACCAGGGATCAGAATCCAGAGCCATTTTGATCACAGCCGGCTTAACTTGCCCCTTGGATTTCGAATAATCTAAATTACCTTCGCCAGCCTTCCATCTTTCCTTTCGGCTCTCGGCTTCAACGTCCATAATACGCCACGGATATTTTCTTACGAATTTGGCGTTCTTATGTATATGCACCTGCAGGTACCCCAAAATCAATCCTCCACATAGCACATACCTCGAGAGATACACATCGTATTTCCTTTCAAAAGGAGACATTTCTCGAGAAACGGGGATCAAGCAGTGCTTCATAGCCTGCACTTCTCCAGCAAGGACGGACTTGGGCAAACCAAATATAGAATATTTCCTCGGTGTCTTGACGCCTTTCAATGACATGTGAATGTGAACATTTTTAATTTGTTATACATCTCAATGACGTGTGAAATCTCAATTCACAATTTGGGTTTCGGATGTTATATGCCAGAACATATACGGAGTACAAGGCGGCTCCATGGAATACCGCTCTCCACCATCATGCAAACTTTCCCTGTCTCGTCACACTCCAAGCGATTCCACGTGTGGCTCCTATGGATTGTCCATTTAGATTCCTACATCATACGGAGTACTTGGGGAGTACCACTGTTTACCAAACAATTACCTAGGCACAAGTACCTAGTACAATAAGTATTACTCCGTACCAGGTTCCCCTTTAATCTAGAGTAAGCTCAAAAAGGAACGGACAGATGAACAGACCCACTTTGCTTGTCATCGAATTGGAATCTAAGGTTATTTGATGTTGTTGATTGGTTCAATATATTAGATGGACAATCGATAGAAATGAAATATTGAATCCTCAAATAGTATGGCAAGGTATGTGTTCTGTGGGAAAGTCCCTCATGCCTCTCTTCTGAGGAATTTCTAAGTAACCGGTGAGGTATGGGTGTGGCGTTGTGGCTCAAACTGTGGCACCACAGTAAAAAACCCACAACACGTGCAGTACGTTAACTGTACCTCAACACACAAAATAATTCTTGATCCGATCTACTCAATTCATCTCAAAGCAGCCCAATTCGATATTGGAAACATGGTTCAATGCCCGAATAGTGTCAATTAATATATTTTCATTTAATCATTTTTGATCTGGCCTGTTTGAAAGATATTATGCGGATCTCGTTCATTCGATGAAGATTGAACTTATCTAAGTCTTACCTCCGTACTATATCCTATCCTACCCTCGCCACTCCCAACTTTTCTATTCAAAACCAAAAAGCCATTGGAAGCGAAATTGGATGAAAATGCAAGCGCGTCTATTCTCCAATAGGAAAAATTGAAACGGCTTTTTGTTTCAGATGGACATCGGATATCGGCCGTAAGTAGACTAAGCACGTCCAATAGAGTGCTAGGTAGTGGTACTCTCTATAAATGAAACGGAAAAAGCTAACGTCTTTCGCATAACCGCTACAGGAAGACCTTGCCGGTTGGGTCTCACCAGCAGATCGCATAGAGAACAAGCATGTTTTATCCGATCGTTAAAACTCGCTGCGGGGTTCAAGAACTTAAACTTAGAACTCATTTCCAAAATTGATTAAGGATCTCGTTCGGTGGAGTCAAAGTCGAAATATGACTCCATAAACTCAATACTAGTGGACTCAAATAAAGTTAACCGACTGCTTTGGAAACATCACATCGAGCCTTTGTCATCTCGCTCACAATTTTATCCACTCCATCAATGATTACGATTAGTTCGCTTGCCAATTTGCTTACCAAAAATCATGCTGGTCATTCCTTTGGATCCGTTTCCGGTAAGAATCGTTGGATCTTTCATATATTTTTTTACCTAGATGAATCTCGAGCGGTTGGCTAACTGGAGAAGACGAGTGAATTATTATCTCCGTCCATTCAATGCCCCGGTAATCTAGGAAGTTTATTTCGGATAAGGTGATATGGACCCGCTCCTTGTCAGGTAACTTCATGTACTTTCGAGGAATGGAAAAGAATATATAAGGTGTGAAGTATCTCGAGGTAATAAACTTTCTCACTCATCTCATCACAGTCTTGTACTTTTCTACATTCTTTTGTACTTGTCGCTCTTTCGCCACTCACATTCCTTTTTTGCATCCAACATTCATTCAAGATGTACTCCGCAGCTGTGCTTGCAACTTTCTCCTTCCTTCTCGGCGCCGGCGCTCAACAGGTTGGAACTTTGAAAACCGAAAGTCATCCTCCCTTGACAATTCAAAAGTGTGCCGCCGGTGGAACCTGTACCGATGAGGCCGACAGCGTTGTCCTCGATGCCAACTGGAGATGGCTCCACTCCACTTCCGGCTCCACCAACTGTTACACCGGTAACACTTGGGATACCACTCTCTGCCCAGATGCTGCTACTTGTACCGCCAACTGTGCTTTTGATGGTGCCGATTACGAGGGAACATACGGTATCACCTCAAGTGGTGACTCTTTGAAGCTTAGCTTTGTTACCGGAAGCAATGTTGGTTCCCGTACCTACCTCATGGACTCTGAGACCACCTACAAGGAGTTTGCTCTTTTGGGTAACGAGTTCACCTTCACCGTCGATGTTTCCAAGCTTCCTTGCGGTCTCAACGGTGCTCTTTACTTCGTTCCTATGGACGCCGACGGAGGAATGTCCAAGTACCCTACCAACAAAGCAGGTGCTAAATACGGTACCGGTTACTGCGATGCTCAATGTCCTCAAGACATGAAGTTCGTCAGCGGCGGAGTAAGTTTTTGATTGATATCTTTCATATGTACCCCCTGCTAACAATTTACTAGGCCAACAACGAAGGATGGGTCCCTGATAGCAACAGCGCTAACTCTGGAACCGGTAACATCGGATCTTGCTGCTCTGAGTTTGATGTCTGGGAAGCCAACTCCATGTCCCAAGCTCTTACTCCTCACACTTGCACAGTTGACGGACAAACTGCTTGCACTGGTGATGACTGTGCCGGAAACACTGGTGTCTGTGATGCAGATGGATGTGATTTCAACCCATACAGAATGGGTAACACCACATTCTATGGAAGCGGAAAGACCATTGATACCACCAAGCCATTCAGCGTCGTTACTCAATTCATCACTGATGACGGAACTGAGACCGGAACCCTTACTGAGATCAAGCGTTTCTACGTTCAAGACGATGTTGTCTACGAACAACCAAACTCCGACATCTCTGGTGTCTCTGGAAACTCCATCACCGATGACTTCTGCACTGCTCAAAAGACCGCTTTCGGAGACACTGATTACTTCAGCCAAAAGGGTGGTATGGCCGCTATGGGTAAAAAGATGGCTGATGGTATGGTTCTTGTTCTCTCCATCTGGGATGATTACAACGTAAACATGCTCTGGCTCGACAGTGACTACCCAACCACCAAGGATGCTTCTACCCCAGGTGTTTCCCGTGGATCTTGCGCTACCACCTCAGGTGTCCCCGCTACTGTTGAGGCTGCTTCAGGATCTGCTTACGTTACATTCTCCAGCATCAAGTATGGACCTATCGGTTCTACCTTCAAGGCACCAGCCGACAGCTCTTCCCCAGTTGTTGCATCAAGCTCCCCCGCCGCTGTCGCTGCAGTTGTTTCTACCTCATCTGCTCAAGCTGTCCCATCTCACCCAGCTGTCTCATCTAGCCAAGCAGCCGTCTCTACTCCTGAAGCTGTCTCATCTGCCCCAGAGGTTCCTGCCTCCTCCTCCGCCGCCCAGAGCGTCGCACCCACATCCACCAAGCCAAAGTGCAGCAAAGTTAGCCAATCCAGCACCCTCGCAACATCTGTTGCTGCACCAGCCACTACTGCTACATCAGCCGCAGTTGCTGCTACTAGCGCTGCTTCTTCATCTGGTTCCGTTCCTTTGTACGGTAACTGCACTGGTGGAAAGACCTGCTCTGAGGGTACTTGTGTTGTTCAAAACCCATGGTACTCTCAATGTGTTGCTTCCTCTTAAGTGGATGCACATCTAGAGAAAAGAAAATGATTGTACTAGACTAGCACACTCATTGATTGGGTGGAAGAAGAGGATGAAAGCTACTGTACACTTCCTTTGTACAAGCTGGGTTGAAGATTTTGGTTCTTGTTCTGTATATATTAGAGTTGATTGTGGGTGTCATGTATAAATTAGCGAAAACCTAGAAATAAGAAGTTTTCATATATATTATCTGCCCTTTAATCAGTGACTGCTTTGTTTGATTTGGTAATGTTTTTAGTGTTTTGGTTGGATGTATTATTTGTTTATTTGAAATTTAGAGATTCAAATGAATAAATGGACTGAAATCTCTTCAAAGATAAACGACCTTGCTTGAGAGAAGGAGCAAAATATATTGATCGATTTATCTCATCAAATTTCAGTATAGAGAAAAAGATATAAATATTGTTAAAGTGAATGGTTCCTGCGTAGCACGTGCACAGGGCACTAGTCCTGTTAGGACTAGATTGAGAAGCTCTCCTACAGAGAGCTTCGCACTTCCGTAGAACTTAGAAGAGAGATAAACCTACTAGACCAATATTACCTCAGTTCTGCCCTATCAGCTTCCCACTATTCCCTGTGTGAGGTCATTCCTTTTAACAAATATATTAATATAGAATGATGATGATGATATATTTATATACTGTTACGACGGATCTCACATACCTAACATCACGTGATTAGCATCATGTGATATGAGGATCCCAGTAGGCTCAGCTGTCCCAGTTGTACTGGGACAACTGGGAGCACTGGGACGCATGCCACGATGGTCTATATAATCAAGATGGATTTCCTTTGTATAGAGCTTCGTGCTCAAGATCAATCATTTAGTATACTCTACTATTAGTTACGAATTGCATATCATTATTGTCATTACTTCAAGTCCCTGCTTGACGCCTAGTTATAAACCTACTTCGAGAGCCTAGAGCACTTCCACGTGATCTAGACGGCAAACCTCGTAACATATACTTCTATATTGATTTATTTGTTTTAAAACAAATAAAATATATCTGTTTTAACTATTTTTTTAATATAAGATCTTACTGATATAGATGAGTGATGAATATAATTAATGAAAAGAGATTGTTACGTCCAAAACGATTAGTATGTCACATGACCATAAAACATGTGATGGAACGGTGAGGAACGAACGTTCCTAGGAACAACCAGGAACGCTCGTTCCCAGGAACGACGATTCCTAGTTAACCATAGGCACGAAGGACTATATAATCAAGATGGATTTCCTTTGTATAGAGCTTCGTGCTCAAGATCAATCATTTAGTATACTCTACTATTAGTTACGAATTGCATATCATTATTGTCATTACTTCAAGTCCCTGCTTGACGCCTAGTTATAAACCTACTTCGAGAGCCTAGAGCACTTCCACGTGATCTAGACGGCAAACCTCGTAACAGAGATTTTGATACGAGATAGAGATATACATGAATTGAACATGCTTAACTTGTATAATATATTTTTTGTGTTAAGTTTTGCACCTGTATAGATAAATCTCTTGCAGTTATTGTATTATTTCACTTTATTCGGATTTTATTTGTTTTATATCTATTTATTCTTGATGCTCATTCATCACTCCTATCCCTCAATCACAAACCTCCATCTTCACACCAGCCTCAACAAAAGCCACAGTGGCTCATCCACCCCCTTCACGCGCACACCGGTACTCCCAGCGGCTAAAAGCTCCAATATTGCGGGGCAAACCAAAGAAACCAATCGAAAGAATCTCGTCTAAGATCTTGCCCGGAAAAGAATCATCGTCCTATGCAAACCATGTTCGTGTTTCAAAAGGCGTTAAAGAATCCTGGTTTTAATATATCTGATGGTTATTATTTCTCCACTATAGATTAATTTTCACAGCTGCAGTATTAATAGGTAGAGTATTATTGATATGGATGGAAGGGAGGAAGGATTGTTTTTGATGGGATGAATAGGATGAATGGGATGAATGGTTCGAAATTTATGGATTAGTGAAAGGGATGCGGACAGGCGGTCCGCCGTGTTTTTGGAGCGGTAATGTTAATGGGTAGAGGGATTGGGGAAACGGCAATTGAGAATTGAGAATTGATTAATGGTTGGCTTGAAGGATTATATGATGCTTTATGGAATACAGGAGAGATGGAAAATTGGTTGGGTCAAGCTTACTCCGTAGACATTGGTGAGGGGCATCATGAGGGGATAGAGGGGAGTTCCTTGAAGTCTCGAGGGGCGAAGCGGTTAAGCCTTACAGGTAACCTTAAGGTAAAGAAAGTAAGTAACCTTTTCGCTAAGTCCTTCATTTCATCTACTCCCCCTTCATCCAACACGAGACTTCCGAAAAAGATTCCCGTTTCATTTTCAAAATCTTCTATCCAATGCCAAGCATGGATAAACGCATCATAAAGAAAAGCAAGCAAGTGCCAACTTCATTCTACACTCTATCGCAAAATCAGATGAACACAAAACAATCTATTATATAGAGACAACAGCTCATATCCGGACCGTCCTGCCATAAAAAACCCATCAATTCTATCTACCTTCTTCATAATTTTTCTTTTCTATACCCCAATTGTATCATTTGCATTGTTCATCTGACTCAATTCGGCGTTTACGCCAATTTCTAGCTTCCTACTTGGGGAATTCCTGGTTTTGAGCGGCTAACGATTCCATATTTGATGATGACTTTAATTTGGGAAATTGGAGGTACAAACAATCGTTTCCGAAAAAACGGATGCTGAATTTGTTTCGTAGCAACTACCTAGGAATCGTCATAAAGAGTCGCCTTATGAGTAGGAAGATGTAATCCTCTATAATAAGTTTGAATTCCCTTTCTCTTCTTCTTGGACTTCTCTTGAACTTTGTCCTGTGCTGTTCAGTTCGTTTCATTCTTTTAAACCTCGCTTCTACGTTTTACTCTTCAACTTTCTTCTTCAAACTTTTACATATCCAGTGGATATTTACACAGGTACTTGAAGTATCTATATCTCAAATCATTCACAATGCATTTTTCAAAGAAGGCTCTGGCAGCCCTTATTGGGTCTGTGACTAGTGCAAATTGTGCGATCTTATGGGATGGTCGATTCGATTCTTCAACTATGGCGGATTTGGAGGCTTGGTCGTGGAGCAATGCCGTTGGTGATTATCAAAATTATATTGTAAGTACTTGTATTTTATCTACAGTCGATAGAGTAATTTGAATGGAATCTTATAAAGAAATAGCACGGCACAAGTAACTTCACCAATTATATTACCCTCGGAAGCTCTTTCAAGAACCCAGCAGATTCTGGATCATCCCTCGGTGCCAAGATAACCCTTGACAGTACCTCATACTGGCAAGGTCAAAACATGCGTCGTACTGAATTGATTCCACAAACTAAGGCAGCTATTGCAAGTGGAAAGGTCTACTATCATTTCAGTATGATGCATATGGAAGCCAATGCACCAAGCATCTATAGAGAACATCAAATTTGTTTCTTCGAAAGTCATTTTACTGAGATGAAGAGTGGCTGGATTAGTGGGGAGTCGGGTTCAAGTGATCCGCTTTTGAGATGGGATGTTAGTGGCAATAGTAAATGGAGTACTAATTGGACTTCTGGTGTTTGGCACAATGTTGCTTACGGAATTGTATGTTTGAATTTACTATTCTTTTACTCAGTTACTAATATACTCCTAGGATTTCTCCGCAGGTTCTGTTGAATTTTACCACTCCACTGGATCCGATCCTCTCACTCTTACCGTTCCAGCAGTTTCCGTATCTGCCTCCTCCAATGGTGCAGATTGGCACTTGGGTGTCCTCGAACTTCCCGTTAGTGGTCAAGCCGACGGAACCGAAGATTTCTATTTCTCCGGTGTATACATTGAAAGTGGATCACTAACCACTAGTGTTGCTGGACCTGGCGGAGCCGTTGTCTCTAGTTCTTCTTCTGCAAGCACGTTAGTAGAATCTTCTTCTATTGCTTTATCTAGCTCAGTACCTGGTGTGGAAGCTTCCAGTGCGGTAGCCTCTAGTGAAACATCAGTTCAAGCTATTTCTACTCAAGTTTCAATTTCTTCTTCTACTGTCCTTTCAGTTACTCAATCATCATCTGTTGCTATTCCGGCCCAACAATCATCATCAGTAATTGCTTCGCCCTCAACCACAACCAAAAAGCCCTGCACGAAAAAGGTATCACCTGGAACCACCACCACCAACATACCTCAAGTTTCCAGTCCTTCTAGCGCTTCAATAATCGAATTTACATCAACCAAAGCCATCACCTCCATCGAAATAATCCCAACAACAATCTACATAACCGCGGGCGGTTCAACCATCCTCTCCACCTCCTCCGTCTCCAAAACCTACACCTCCCAATCAGCAATCATAACGCATTCCTCTATCCTCCCCATCGCCATCCCATCTACTTTTCTCACATCCAAAAAACCCTGCACGAAGAAACCTTCTCCTTCTTCTTCTTCTTCTCTCTCCGGAAATTTAAATATAGCTTCTACATTATCATCATCATCAGGAATTCTAACACCTTCACCCTCTAGTATTCCCCATACTACGCTCACGACGACGATAACTCAGACGTCTTCTACGACGGTGTCTTCTAGTGCGTCTGCTACTAGTACTGCCGGGAGTGGAAGTGCGGGGACAATTGCAAAGTATGCGCAATGTGGTGGGTTGAATTGGAATGGGAGTGGGTCGTGTGTGGATGGTTGTACGTGTAAGGTTTTGAATGATTATTATTCGCAGTGTCTTTGAGATTGGGGAAGGGGAAAAGAAAATGAAATGAAATGAAATATTTTAACGAGATGGATGGAGGGGATGTTTAAAGGAGGAGGAAGGAAAAATGTGTGTTTATTTCTTGTATATAGTTCAGAATGTGGAGGTGTGAGATGGATTTGATATATTCGAAGTGGATAGTCTAAATGTCATCAAGTATATATCAATTTTATACTTTTCACTACTCTCTTTATTCTATTTATATGTGATGAATTATCAATATTATTAATATTTGTTTAATATCTGAGAAGGATATTGGGACTTCTTTATCTTATAATTATACTATTTTAAGAATTTATACTTTAAAATTCAAATATAAATCCATATCCATGTAAAGATACACAAACTGACGAACCTATACACAACACACACACACAAAAAAAGATCACCAAATCCCTAAAGCCCAAAGCCCAAAGTAAGAATCGAAATTCTCAATTCTGCTATCTACCTATCTACCTATCCATCAAATAATTACACACCATTTACCAGATGAAGAGGTTGTATTATACGTCCTGTCCCATATCCTTATTACCCTATGTCTTCATATATTCATATATCCATAAGTAAATAAGTAAGTATTCATATATGTACTATGTATGTATGTAGAGCAGAAAAGAATCCACGCGCTAAAAACCATGCAAAGCAAAGTGACGAACGAACAAAAGAAAAGAAAACTGATATCCAATCCATCATCGATTCATCGGCATCCATCCATCAATCCATCCATGAATCCATCAATCCATCAATCCATCAATCAATCAACCAAGAAATCCATACTCCACCATGCATTTTTAACGCCCATATCCTATTTCCCATCCATTCCATATATGCTATCGATCTACCCCCTAAACCACGCAAAACCAAAAAAAAGGCTTATCTGAAGACGAGACTCCAGAGCAAAAAGGAAAAAAAAAAAAAAGACAAAAGAAATAGTACACCTAGTTCATGTCATCAAACAACTATAGACGTTATATTTTCATGAAGCATATCCCGATGAATTAAATACGTGACAGTGGTTGATATCCAAAAAAAAATCAAGAAATCAGATATAATCTGAACCATGTAATCCGAAATTTTCCGAATGCGCAAATCAATGACAATATACTCATCATCTGATTGAAGTTTCGAGGAGAGTATTCAAGATCGGGCTGTAAGGATCAGATAGGTAGTCACAGAAGTGATTGTAAAAGCTGGTTGGTTGATTGAATGCGATAATCTGATGTAGAAAGAACCATAATAGAACAGAACAGAGAAAACAGAAAAGTAAACTTGAATCGTGCAAATGGGTATCATAAAGCCATTTGCGCCCTTAAACAATCGTCCCAAAACCGGAAAGTAATCAAAATCAAAATCAATGGTTGGAAGTAATCGATTGCCTTAAAAAATTAATTGCCTTGGTCGTATTTACGACGCCTGGTGCTGTTCTCATCAAAAATCTGATTGCCTCGCATCTGAGAACTTTGAGTTCGTCTGGGATTGGGTTGGAAACCTTGTTGAAGAGTGGGATTATTGGCTTGACTGATTGAACTCGGGATAGGGCTGTTGCCAACGCTACTAGTTGCTGAAGATTGTCGACGGAATTGTTGTTGTTGCGCAAAGTGTTGTTGTTGATGTTGTTCAGCAAATTGACGACGGCCTTGCTGCATGTGGTAAGAGCTTTGGCGAACACCTTGTTGTTGATGAGATTCATTCAATTGACCATAACTAGGTTGCTGGTATTGAGGGGTTGAGAACTCAATATTGTTGTTGAAGTTCTGGGGAGACATGAGATTTGGCTGCATAGCAGTCCCAGACATCATATTTTGTTGCATTGCAGTTCGAGGAACCACAAAATCAGAATGCGAACGTTGGTGTTGAGGACGACCACGAATGGGTACTATACTTTGTCCACCCATGCTCATCCCCGTTCCCATGCCGCCATTCATGCTGAAGCTGGCACCACCGCTCTCCATCTGTTGAATCTGTGTCTCCACCTGGTTCTGATGGATACCCAATGGACGAGCAACTGGTGCCGCCAATGGCGATTGATAAACTGAGGAGGACCGACCACTTTGACGACTTCTTGGGAATTCAAAGTCATTGTCACCGATAGATGATTGATAATTTTCATCAATTCGATCAAAGCTAGGAAAAGCAGGCTGAAATGACATGCGACGACGCTCGACATCTGTTAAGAGTGGTGCAAATTGCATATGTTGAGCATTAGCATCGCCTGGATTAGGACGACGACGCTTCATGGTGGCGCTGTAAACAGGAACCCCATTACTTGAGCTTTGATATTGGACTGGTTGGCTCATTTTTCGATCCTGTACTGCAGGAGAGCTGTAGCTTTGCGTCTTCATAGCAGCGACACCAAGAGATTGGGAGCGCTTGTGACCAGCAGATGATACCTTGCGCTTTGCATAGCCCTTAGGAGACTTGGGTTCATCTTGGTCGATGGTGATGTTTGGAAGAATTTCAATGTCTGGGAAACAAGGTAAGAGGTCTTCAAGAACTTCTTGGTGGAGGCGGTTGAAGATTTCTAGAATCTCTTCGGTGGTATAACCTGTTCCGATGACATGAAGAAGCCAATCTGGAACAGCTGTTGGTGGACGGGGACCCTGCGCATCTTCGTCGCCCTCATCCTCATCATCAAAAGTAGAAGCACGTCTCTTTCGGCCGGAACCCTTGAGCTCATCCAACCGCTTCTGCTCACGCTTTCTAATAGCTATGCCCCAGTCTTTGATAGTACCTGGCTCACCACGACGCATGTTCTGTGTAGACCAGTCGTATACACGACGAATTTGCTGTTGTACCAAATCGCATTGTAGCTTGGCATACTCCTTAGGATTACGATAACGGGAGCGTTGATAATGCTTGCGACAATAGTGGACCCAAACAGATTGTGGAATCAACCTAGTGCACATCTTGTTTCGACCAAAGATATGTGAGATTGCCTTGCGAGGTTGCGAACCCGTCTCACAATTGGGAATGTACATACACTCAGGAACAGTGTCTGCATCCCCATCAGCTGGTGGTGGTGTAGCTGGGTCGCCCTCTGCATCCTCATCTCCATCATCGAGGGGTGATGGAAGGTTCGCAAGACGGGTGGAGTTGGGTGGGGTGAGTTCGGGAATTGGACCAACACCAGATGCCGAAACACGACTTGGTCGGCGCAAAATTGGTGCAGAAATGTTTCGCTTGTGCAATGTAGGATTCATGGCTCCATGATTGAACTCAAGCTGAGCGCTGCGATAATAATTGCTACTACTGAGTTGATGTTAGTCAAGCTGATAAACCGATAGTGTGAACGACATCGGATGGGAAGGAACATAGGACGATGAAATTGTATGAAGCGTATAACTTACTGATCTGACTCGGAGCCATTATCACTTGCATCAGTATTCAAGCGCGGTAGATCTGGACGTCTGATCAACATAGCATCACTTGGTGAATCAGGTCGACTATCCGACTCCCTGATGGAATCGGCAGAGTCAGCCAGCGAAGCTCCTGGTGCAGCTGCCATGCTTTGAGATCGGACATTTTTACTTTCAGGGGACGACCGAGAAGACTCTTGCTCAGCTAAAGTGGCTAGAGCATCAAGGTTTTCTGTTGGACTGGAAACCATGATGCTGATCTTCCTGTTGTGTGGGGAGGTTGGGGCAGAACGCGACTCGACTTTGGTTTGCTGGGTAATCGAGGAATAAGGAGAACAATTTAAATCTGTAGAATTCTCTGATGAAGATTTGCAGTAACCGTGCAAAGAAGTGATCGGATAGCTACTGTTGATGGTACTGAAAGAACTAAATCTGGAGTGGTTCGAAGAAGAAGGGGCAGTTGAGTTGGTTGTCGAGGTAAAGGAAGACAAACTGCTCCGGCTATCAGAAAATTTATGATGAGGTGACTTTTCTAAATCCGTCCCATGTGAATCATAGCAGTGAATCTTTGGGTTCATGGCGTTCACCGTACTCAACTCATTTCCTGTACCGAATTCTTTAATATTAATCGTATGATTTGATGTGTTGATTGGCAGTGAATAGCCATTTGCGTCCCATGGAGTTCGATTTCTCGATGGGAGAACGAATTTCTCTCCTTGATGATTTTGCTGCTCAGCAGCAACACTGCTTGAATTCAACAACGATGTAACGTCCATCTTGAAAAGGATGAGATTCTCTGAACTTCAAATGAATATATCCTCCGCGCTGCAGGGTGTTATTCCTGTGCCTTTCATGCAGGCTTTCTGGCGATCGGTGCTCCTTTCTTCAATGCCTTGCAAAGTTGCGAAAAGGTTTTCGATCAGTTATACTCTTTGTCGATTCGATAAAAAGATGGCTTGTCGACTTGGGAGACCTTTCAATTCAGAAGAAGGTCGAGGAGGATATGTGGCAATAAAGAATATTGAATGATGTAGGATGTTTCAGAGCTCGTACTGATCTAGAGGACTTGACTGACAAGGACTCTTCCTAGTTCAGATTGACTTGAATAGAGTGATACTGCACAATGGCAGTGGTGCCAATCCCATATACTCTTACGAATTGACAAGGCTAAGCTAATTCGTGGATCGACATCCGACAATGCATTGACCTCATCGGAAACCTTCGAAACACCTACTGTGAAGCTTGGTGTATCGTTAATATCGTCCAAACATCTGACCTGATGTAATTAAGTTGTGGATCTACTAGAGGGCCGGAGAAAACAATGAGATGGTCTATGCCTTCAAGTCTCGTCGAAACGTTGATGCCAGCTTGGACAGTAGCTATCTGCTTGCTCGGATAATGAGTATATCAGGCAATACGACGTCGATTGTCAAATACCTCAAGTGTTTACTCTTATCCTTTGATCATAAGAGCCTCTGTTGAACTGTTGGTGGTATACTTTATCGAGGAT